TTTAATTTATTTCTTTTTAGGGGTGGTGGTGGGGGTGGTAGGGGGCTGGAGGGAGGGGGGTGGGATAAAAAAATTGAAGTTGAAAAATATTTTTTTAAAATTAAGCTTTAAATTTACTTTTTCATCAAAAAAAAATTTGATTTTTTCAACAAAAAAGTTGCAATTTGAAATTGGTGGAAAGTTTTGGAAAATGTTTTCCTTGATTTTTGAAGGAAAGTCATTTTCCTTGAATTTGAGGAAAATGAGTTGATTTGGAAAACATTTTTCCTAAACATTTTAACCCCAACCAAACATGAGAAATTGAAAACATTTTCCGGAAAATGTTTTCCTTCATACCAAACACACCCTTGATCTACAATTAATATTGCTCCTCAGTTGGTTGTTTGCCAAATCAAACCACAAAACTTGGTAGTCTCCGAAATCTTTTACTTGATAGTTGCTATGGATTGACTAGTATGCCACCAAGGATAGGATCTTTGGCATGCCTTAAGACCAGTGGCGGACCCAGGATTTTCACGAAGTGGGTTCAAGATATAAAAAATAAATAAGAGAGGTTCAAGTTGAGAGATGGGGAGAGTTTTTTTCCTTCAACAAAAAAATATGCTCAAAATTTTGGGGGGAAAAGTAAGAGAGGTTCAAGAAGATTTCAACAAAGAAGAAGATAAAAGGATTTTTAGAATTGAAAATAATAGGGATTAGTGCCTTTTTAGTTGAGTTTTTTTTAAAAAAATAATTTAAAAACAAAAAGGACAAAAGTTGTTGACTATTGGACTTTAAATGTAAAAGTAAAAAGTTGTTCTACTTTTTATAGTTCCTAAGTAACTAAAAGGACAAAAGTTACACCTACATAGAGGACAAAACTGTGTGTGAACGTTTTATATATAAAAAAAACGAATTAAAACTGAAATGTGGCTATAGGGATTCGATCTCGGGTTGGCTTAGGAAAATTGAACCCCCTCAGCCACTCGGCTAAGCTTCAACTTGTGTTAGTGGGTTCAAAATTTAATATATACATATAAAATTTTAAAAACTGATTAAATATACATATATATACAGTGTTATTTTTCAACGAAGTGGGTTCATATGAACCCACTTGAACCACTGTAGGTCCGCCCCTGCTTAAGACTATAGAGCGCTTTGCTGTGGGAAGGAAGAAAGGTTCTCAAAATATATCTGAACTTTGACCAAAATTGTTGTAACAATCCCAAACTTTGGGCATGACCTATTACCCCTGCACTATTTAATAGTGTATTTTTAAGATATATAGGTGTCCACGTGGACATTATAAATATTGCATCATTATAAATAGTAACTTGTTCACGTGGACACATATATATCTTTAAAATACACTATTAAATAGTGCAGAGGTAATAGGTCCGACCCAAAGTTTGGAATTGTTACAACAATTTCGGTCAAAGTTCAGATACATTTCAAACATTTTTCCCTTTTTCTTTAATAATAAATTTTTCAAGGATCTATAGAGCTTTTACAAGTTGAGATATTATCTCATCATTTTTCAAATGCATATACTCAAATGAATGGGAAAAGAAGCACCAAGTCAACAACTAGTGATATTGACTAGAATACTGAATGCCTTGTTATTTGGTTCTGTGGAAAGAAAAG